AGACACAGGACAGAGAGAACCATAATCATCCTCCTCGGGCCGGTTGTTGCACGGACGCTCTGATTTATGGATGCAGAGCAGACACACAGCCGCTCGGATGAAAGAGTTTCTGTCAGGTCAGAAGATACAGATACCTCGTTGCCATAGAAACTGCTTTGGGCTAAAACAAAAGACAGGATACAGAGAAAAACAAAAAAGAAGGAGAGAGAACAGATGATGAAACAATGAAACGGGTCAGTGAAAGACGACTTTAAAATTCAACAATAACTGAGACTGGCATTTGGAAAATATATTGTTTTTTTTTAAACACACACACACACACACAAGCATTCATCTGTCAGACTGTAACACGCTGCTTTCAGCTCAGGACAGACGTGCGACCTGACAAAAATCTAGGCCGGCAATTTGAAAAACAACTAAACCACTTTCCGGTTGAATGCTATTATTATTATTTTCATAGCGGCTGACAATTGTTTTGTCCACAGCGCGCCGTGCATGTCAATGTTTTATGTTGGAAATGTTCAGAAACGAAGGTAAATTCAAGGATATTTTCTGCAGAGTGCAAACCTCCAGGCAGCAACTTCAGGAGGAGATTAATGCTTATACTGTAGGTAGATTTTTGGTGGAATGTTAAACGCCATTATGACATTTTAATGAGCTACAATATTTACAGTGAATTAATATTGTAGCTATGAGAAGAGTTGGGATTATTTGATATTTGATATACTTTATTAATCCCCGTGGGGAAATTGTTTCTCTGCATTTGACCCATCCTGTGTTAGGAGCAGTGTGCTGCCATTTTGAACGGCGCCCGGGGAGCAGTGTGGGGAACGGTGCTTTGCTCAGGACACCTCGGTAGCACTTGGTCTTGCGGGGACTTGAACTGGTGACCTATCAGTTGCCAAGCCAAGTCCCTATCGACTTCGCCACCACCGCCCCGATATTGACCCTAACCCTAATATTAACAACGAAAAATCAGCTTTGTATATGAAGCAATATCAGAACACAAACATCAATGCTTGATATTAATCTCAAAATTATTTAAAAAGTCAAAACCTTTTTCCGAATTGTGTCTTTTTCAGAAATCAAACTTTTTTTCGAATGTCAGTAGGATGAGAGCTATGTTCAAGCGTGTTGTATTTATTTGGGTAAAAAGCCGATTTCTTTGGTTAATATTGGGGGATCAATGCAAATACTCCAGATTGTTATCATATCTACAATATTAACTCACTGTTGTTGCAATGTACCTCACTGGAAATACACAATCTGTGATCCCAATGGATATTTACACGCACTTTCAAAACCTAGAAACATCTAGATATTGTCACAGGGTGTGAGTTAGAAACACAGACGTTGTGTTGCATCACATGATTGCCGAACAGCGGACAATGCAGGGCGATCCTTTAGTTTCTCCCTCTGCTCCTTCAGATCTGCCGTCTGTCAAAATATCAATTTATTTTTCCACTCTCCCTCCAAAGATTGCTGAGCGCTAATTGGAAATAGCATGTAGCGTCCTCTCTGTTCTGCACAGAGAGAGAGGAGCTATCACTCTCAGATGTGAACATGACGCAAGGCCCATCTGTACATCAATCATTTTCTATCTGAGAGGGATGAAGAAGAGATGGAGACTGTGTGTGTGTGTGTGTGTGTGTGTGTGTGTGTGTGTGTGTGTGTGTGTGTGTGTGTGTGTGTGTGTGTGTGTGTGTGTGTGTGTGTGTGTGTGTGTGTGTGTGTGTGTGTGTGTGTGTGGTGTGTGTGTGTGTGTGTGTGTGTGTGTGTGTGTGTGTGTGTGTGTGTGTGTGTGTGTGTGTGTGTGTGTGTGTGTGTGTGTGTGTGGGTGTGTGTGGGTGTGTGTGTGTGGTCTAGCATTACTATACTTGTGGGGACCTAAATCTGTTTACACAGTCACGTGTGGGGACTGGCTTCCCTTATGGGGACAAATTGGAGGTCCCCATGAGGGGGATCATTCATTTTAGGGTAAAGACTTGGTTAGGATTAGGGTTAGGGTAAGGGTAAGGGTTAGGCATGTGTTGGTTATGGTTAAGGTTAGGATAAGTCTCCAGGAAATGCATGTAAGTCAATGTAATGTCCCCTGAAGTACATGGTATATGTGTGTGTGTGTGGTGTGTGTGTGTGTGTGTGTGTGTGTGTGTGTGTGTGTGTGTGTGTGTGTGTGTGTGTGTGTGTGTGTGTGTGTGTGTGTGTGTGTGTGTGTGTGTGTGTGTGTGTGTGTGTGTGTGTGTGTGTGTGTGTGTGTGTGTGTGTGTGTGTGTGTGTGTGTGTGGGTGGGTGTGGGTGTGTGTGTGTGTGTGTACTCAAACATTATCTGTATTAATCAAAACTCAATAGGAGGATTTGCATATTGGAGTTATTGAGTGCAGCACGCGGAAAATGAATTTTTGGATATAGTGACATGTTTAGAACAATAGCAACAGTTCAGAAAGGAAGACGCCGCGTGTGAATGTTTGTGTTCTCAACCCTAACCCTAATCTCAAAATGTTTTCAGTATTTTTACATTTTTTCTCAATATTTTGACTTTTTTTAAAGTATTTTTTTCAGAATTAAGAATTTTGTCTCTGAAATCTGACATTTTTAAGAATAAGAACTTTTTTCAGGAATTGTACTATTTCCGCTAATTTGGAGTTGTTAAAGAAATGTTACTTTTCTCAGAATTCTGACTATTTTTAAGAATGTTGATTTATATTTCTGAGAAAAGTAAAAATTCAGATAAAAAGTCAGAATCCTTAAAAATGTTGAAATCTTTAAAAAAAAGTCAAATTTCTGAAAATGTTTTCGAATTCTGACTTCTTTCTGAACTCGAAAACATTTTCAGAAATTTGACTTTTTTAAAGATTGTAACATTTTTAAGGATTCGGACTTTATCAGAATTTTTACTTTTCTCAGAAAAATGACTTTTTTTCAGAAATGTTGACTTTTAGTAGAAGCTGCACATTTGGTTGTGGTCGGATGACACGATTAATGGGTTGTGTGTTTTTAGGAAACAAGCTTTATTTGTGGCTCATACATCTGGGATAGAAGCTTATCTGGTGTCTTATTTGGAGCCTGTGGCTTGTACGTAAGACAAATGAAATATACAAGTGTCTATTAGAAGATGAAGAGTAGCCAATCAGCAGTGGAGGCTGACATTTCCCTGATTGATGGACATTAATTAGTAGAAGAAGAAGTATTGGTCGTCTCTCAGATAACAGCCTCAATCTGTCAATCGAAGAGAAACAATCAATCGTGTTGTTGACTAAGGTTCAGTTTGCTTTCATCTGCACGTGATTAGTAAAGGGTTCATGTTGAGTTACCTTTCAAAAGCTGTCATCTCTTTCTTTCTCTCACTTTCACGCTGCATTGATTCAAAACGGTTGCATTTGAAAGCGTTTTGAAGCAAGACTCTGAACCTTGGCTCAGACTTAAATAGAGACAAATATTCACATCCACATCCAGGGAGAAAATGCTTTCTTTCTGCGTAGGTGTATTTAATGCCCTTTCCTGGAGGTTACATTTGAAATAACTTAATTGTATATCAGGATTGAACTAGATTTACTAAGTTTGATAACCTGGAAATATGTAGAATTTCACCAACAGTCAGAAGTGATACAATACAAAGATAAATATGTAACAAAACATAGAAGAAAAAGACAATTGCACACACAAAAGCAACACATGTAATATTGGATTATGTAATTGCAACAGAGGTCAGCTAATCTATCTGTCACTGGGAGGCTCTCTCCAGAGGTGGAAGTAGGCAGGAATCACACACACACACACACATATCCAGCCAAGCTGCATCACCATGTGTGGATCCAAAGGGATGGGAAGTATGGCGACACGATACAGACTCCCTGCCACACACACCTGCTCCAACACACACACACACACACACACACACACACACACACACACACACACACACACACACACACACATACCATGTATACATCACTTCAGGGGACATTACATTGACTTACATGCATTTCCTGGAGACTTATCCTAACCTTAACCATAACCAACACATGCCTAACCCTAACCCTAAACCTAACCAAGTCTTCACCCTAAAATTAATGATTCATGGAGACCTCCATTTTGTCCCCATAAGGGAGGCGAGTCCCCACACGTGACTGTGTAGACAGATGTAGGTCCCCACAAGTATAGTAATGCTAGGCCACACACACACACACACACACACACACACACACACACACACACACACACACACACACACAGTGGGGAGGATACCTTCATATGAAATGCCACATTGGTTTGCTTAGTTTCTCCATGTGAATATTATGGTGTGTGGTTTATTTGACAAGAAGATGCTAATGAGACGGATTAATCAATTCAAGGACATTAACGAGCTGTACAGACTTTTAATGTCAATGTCATTCTCTCATTATACACACAGCAGAAAAATACAGCTTTAACCACACTATGCTGTCATATTATGTACAATATTATACCCTTCATTTATTAACAGACGCAGCCATTTTATGGCATAATCTTTGATAGTTTAGTAAGATTAGTCAAACTGTTTGGTTGTATTTAAAACACCTGAAAACCATTTCATTAAGAAGTGTACAAAGTGCTGGTACTTTCAGAGCACATGTCAAATAAAAAATACAAATCTAAAAGTAAAGATCTAATAGAATACAGGAAATGTGTGCAAAGGGTGGTATAGCCAACATTTGAATAACAAATATAATATTATAAAGAATTGAAATAAAATGGTGATTAAGCTCTTCAAAATAAATGTATACAAATGTTATATGTGGAATACATTTAAATTGAGCCCAGTTACGGTATGTCCACACGGCAGCATCGCGGTGAAGCTTGCCGGTGGGCGTGTCTGGCGTGCGACCAACAACCAATCACATGAATCTCCCGCCCCGGACACACAAGCACGTTGATTGGCTAGAGCTTGTACTGGCATATGATTTGATTGGCTGGCGCTTCCGTCGACGCTTGAAAAGTTGAACCTTTCTCAACTTTCGAAGCGAGCGACGGAGGCAGAGCGACGGAGGCAGAGCGACGGAGGCAGAGTGACGGGCGACGGAGGCAGAGCGACGGAGGCAGAGCGACGGGCGACGGAGGCAGAGCGACGGGCGACGGAGGCAGAGCGACGGAGGCAGAGCGACGGGCGACGGAGGCAGAGCGACGGAGGCAGAGCGACGGAGGCAGAGCGACGGAGGCAGAGCGACGGGCGACGGAGGCAGAGCGACGGAGGCAGAGCGACGGGCGACGGAGGCAGAGCGACGGAGGCAGAGCGACGGAGGCAGAGCGACGCGACGGAACCACAATGCAGTTCGGCAAAGAGTGACGTCACCACATTCAAAGGGAATGGGAAGCGTCTCCGTTGACGCCCGCGTGTGGACGTACCGTTAATCAGAGGCGTCTTTCTTTCACCTCAAAATTGTTACTGTAATCTGTTTTGAGATAACAACATTTGCAATAACATAATTGTATATCAGGATTTTACTCGATTCACCAGGTTTGATAACTCCTTAATGTCTAGAATTTCACCAACGGTTGATGATGATACAATACAGAGGCGGGAAAAAAAGCACTTTTTCCCAAGTGTTCTTAATTAATTATGTTAGCCTCATTTTAAGGAGTTATATTCGTGGAATAAATGTAAATTGAGCCCAGGTTATCAGAGGAAACAACTAAAGTCTTTCTCTCACTTCAACATTTTTACTTGAATGTGTTTTAAGTCAGAAATACAGCTAACAAACACCTATTTCTTCCCCGATTGTGGAAAGTTTCCCGGCTGTTTCGGCTTCAGATGCGTGACCTCCAGCGGTATCTCTCAGCAAACCTAAAGATTCGAAGACCGTCAGTTTCCACATAGCATTTTTTTAACATACGACTCTTGGTGGGCCCTAAAAATATATGTTGAGGAGTTATATTTTTGGAATAAATGTAAATTGAGCCCAGGTTATCAGAGGAAACAACTAAAGTCTTTCTCTCACTTCAACATTTTTACCATAATCTGCTTTGAGTCAGAAACACAGCAAACAAAAACCTTTTTTTGAAAGTTTCCCGGCTGTTTCGGCTTCAGATGCGTGACCTCCAGCGGTATCTCTCAGCAAACCTAATGATTCGAAGGCCGTCAGTTTCCACGGAGCACTTTTTAACATACGACTCTTGGTGGGCCCTTGAATCTAAAGTGGTTTCCAGGAGCCGCAGTGCATACATCTTCAGTGTGGAGGCCCCGGTGGAGCTGGAGCTCATATCCTGACAGCTGCAGTGATAGATGTGAAACCCACAGAGGAGATACACACAGAATGAAATCCCTAACCTCGGCAGCTTTAGTGCTCGACTCCACTCATTGAGCTCCATGGGAAATTGAGTTTCTAACCCTGGCAGTGGCAGCACTTATAGCTCCACCCAAAGGGCTCACACTGCAGACTTTCAGAGGACAGATCACTCTGTGGAGGTCAGAGGGATCACAGGGATACAAATATACATGTATTTGTGCTGTTAATAAGTATTATACGGAAAATCAAGATTTAGGGTGGCCGCTCAATTAAGAGGTAAAGAAACTCAAATTTGCTTTAATTTGAGAGCAGCACTTTAACATTTGGATAATGTTTCGAGAAATAGTTTGATGTCCATGGATTATAATTGTTGTTTTTTAATTAGAGAAAAAACTAATTAAATCAATACAACAACAAAAAAGAATACAAACAAATATATAAAATTATAATCATTTATAATAATATTAAAATAATCACAATAATAATAATTAATATGTTAATAATAATAATAATAATAATACATTATAAAAGCAACCCACCTAAATAATATTACTAATAATAATAATTAGTTTTTGCTCATTTATTAATCTTTTCAATATTTCTGTTTGCTTTGATTTATTCTGTCAGTTGCTGAAAGAGAGGATTTTTTTGTCGGCATGCAGCTTCACTGAAAACACACAAACCCTTTAATTACAGATATTTGGTTTCAGTTTGGATTACAGGCGCTGTGTCTAACTCTCAGTGACTGTTAGAGAATATTCTGGAGGAAGTGCTCAAGTTTCTGACAGAGACTTTATCTCCTGAGTGGCCCTACATCTCAGAGTGGGTGATCCGGTCTTTCTGACGCGGAAAGCTCGATCCAATCTGCCCCCAATCTTATCGGGCAATGTTAGTCTGGATATAAGCGGATCATTTTTATCCTTACCAATGACCCAGAGACCTCTCTCCGTTTCTGCCTTGAAAAACGCCCGTGACGCAAGACAGGAGCAGAGGAACAAGATAAACACTCATATGAAAGCTTTCAGAAAACTTCTACATTCAGGTTTCAGCAAATACAGTTTGACTTTAACCTTCTAAGAAAGTCCAGAAATGCTGTGGATTTATAGAAGAATATATTGGATTAGAAGAGCAACAACTGGATTAAGAAGACCTAATCTGATCCTTGATACATCAAATGCTTGGCTGGAAATCTGCTCCTAACATTTTTGTAATTTTGGCCTTATCAATCAATCAATCAATCAATGTTTATTTATATAGCCCAATATCACAAATGTTACATGTGTCTCAGTGGACTTCACAGTTTGTACAGAATATCAGTATGACAATATGACACCCTCTGTCCTTAGACCCTCTGTCCTTAGACCCTCTGTCCTTAGACCCTCTGTCCTTAGACCCTCACATCGTACAAGGAAAAACTTCCGGAGAAAACCCACAGTTTAAAGGGAACATGGGAGAAACCTCAGGGAGAGCAACAGAGGAGGGATCCCTCTCCCAGGACGGACAGACGTGCAATAGATGCCGTGTGTAAATTGAAAAGATAATACATTTGCAACATAGGTAGTCCAAATGTTTGGAAATGAATGTGTGTATAATAGGAAGATGAATCCACGAGGATATCCATCCAGGACCTATGATCCAGGACCACAGCCACGACTCAAGATCCAGGGCTCGCGATCCAGGACTCAGGACCGCAGTAACAGGATCATTCATGACTCCGGATCCCGGCGTATATAGACATAAAAAAGAAAGACATTTGGGGAAGCTGGGTTAATCGGAACATGAGAGTACACAGGTATAGACAGAGAGAAGGAAGAAGTAAGATGACCCCCGACAAACTAAGCCTATATCAGCAAAACTAGGGGCTGAATCTAATCAGCCCTAACTATAAGCTTTATCAAAAAGGAAGGTCTTAAGCGCACTCTTAAAAACGGATAGGGTGTCTGCCGCCCGAACACAAACTGGAAGCTGATTCCACAAATGTGGAGCTTGATAAGTGTCAATATGCGAGTTTTTTTGCGACCAAAATGACCTCTGACCTCTTGTTTATCCAACATGTTTTACACACTGAAAGCTCTCACATAATGCTGTTCAGACAAACAGGACACACACAATCTTTAGTCATAGACTATATCAGTGTGAGGAGAAACTTGAGCTTTAAAGAGACCGTATTCTGCTTTTTTAGGGTTTTCCCTTCCCTATGTTATTAGGTTTTAGTGCATGTTAATGGTCTGCAAAGGCTAAAATCCCTGTGTTCCCTCCAGAGGGAGTTTCTCTCAAACACACACATACACACACACACACACACACACACACACACATACACACACACACACACACACACACACACACACACACACACACACACACACACACACACACACACACACACACACAGACATTGGAAAACTACTTCCAAATATCCAAACTGTCCATTGAAAGTGTTAGAGAATGCAATATTAATATCGAGGGTACTTTAAAATTTCAGTAGCAAGCAACCGTGTGCGCGTGTGTGTGTGTGTGTGTGTGTGTGTGTGTGTGTGTGTGTGTGTGTGGTGTGTGTGTGTGTGTGTGTGTGTGTGTGTGTGGTGTGTGTGTGTGTGTGTGTGTGTGTGTGTGTGTGTGTGTGTGTGTGTGTGTGTGTGTGTGTGTGTGTGTGTGTGTGTGTGTGTGTGTGTGTGTGTGTGTGCGTGTGTGCGTGTGTGTGTGTGTAATTTCTTGTGTCATCACTAGCATGCGCCTCCTGACTCTATGTGACACCGGGTAAAATACCGATGCAGCAGCTTACATGAAAGAACAAGAAGTCAGCGATGATCCTTCTATACGCTGTGACACAATGCTAACGTACACATTTCTTGATAGTAACTTTATTTCCTCTCTCTCTCCCTCTCTCCTCCCTCCTGCTGCTGCCTGGCACAACAGATCACTTGGGCATCGAGTTTATGGGTAAGGAAGCTTCTCTTGCATCTGCATGTGTCACGACTGTAAACATCACAGGGCTTCACACTGCATTACCTGTGTGATTTCTCGCATACAGAACATGCATCGCTGGTGACATGACACGCAGCAAATGGCGCACGTGGACGTTACCTAATAACATCATTACATCATGTTAAATGTGGTCTGCCGAATGCAAATGGCGTCTGTATGAACGTGCATTCACATATTCTTGACCTGCGCCCTACTGATGTATTAGCCACTGTCTTAATCTCTCCATACACACGTGTAATTATACCGTATAAAATTCCTTTCTGCTCCGTTATGCTTTCTTTCCCTCACAATTGCTTATGAAATGTCCCTTCAGAATTGCAATGTGCTGCAGTATCCTTGGAAACAGAGAGCACAGGAAGGCAGAGGGGATACAGTGAGGGAGTTTGGCTCTGTTACCAAACGCTCTCCTCATTAGTGCGTGTGTGCATGCATGGCACGCGTTCAAAAAGTGTTTGTGAAGTTTCTGCTTCTGTGAGTTAGCTGAGATTCTTGCAGTGATCGATCCTCCTCGTCAGAGAAGGGAAGTAATGGAGTACAAATACGTTGTTACTGTACTTAAATAAATGTTTCTGGTATCAGTACTTTACTCCACTACTTATTTTTCTGACGACTTTTTACTTTCTACTTCTCTCATGTTGAACTCAAATACCTGTACTTTCTACTTCTTACATGTTGAACACAAATACCTGTACTTTCTACTTCTTACATGTTGAACTCAAATACCTGAACTTTCTACTTCTTACATGTTGAACACAAATACCTGGACTTTCTACTTCTTACATGTTGAACACAAATACCTGTACTTTCTACTTCTCTCATGTTGAACACAAATACCTGTACTTTCTACTTCTTACATGTTGAACTCAAATACCTGTACTTTCTACTTCTCTCATGTTGAACACAAATACCTGTACTTTCTACTTCTTACATGTTGAACTCAAATACCTGTACTTTCTACTTCTCTCATGTTGAACACAAATACCTGTACTTTCTACTTCTTACATGTTGAACTCAAATACCTGTACTTTCTACTTCTTACATGTTGAACCCAAATACCTGAACTTTCTACTTCTTACATGTTGAACCCAAATACCTGTACTTTCTACTTCTTACATGTTGAACTCAAATACTTGTACTTTCTACTTCTCTCATTTTCCAAACAGCTGGTTCCTTTAGTCTGAATGTGTGTTTGATGCGTGATCATTATTCTTTAGAGTCATTGCGTGCCTATTGATTTGAACACGATCCGTGTATCCATCATTTCCTGGTCTTCTCTAAAGAAGAGGGACCAATGGAAACGTTGTCATGTTGCCGTTGTTCAGCATGGAAACATTCATTAGCTAACAATGACATTATTGTTCTATTAATATAAAGGGAGGTCAGGTACTCTTTAAAGCAGCTGCTAGTTATGGGTACTTTTTACTGAAGTACATTTCAAAGCCTCTTTACTTTGACTGGAGTAAAGAAGTTTAGTCAGTACTTCTACTTTCACCAGAGTATTTTTAAACACGAGTATCTGTACTTCTACTTGAGTAAAGGATGTGTGTACTGCAGCCATCTCTCCTCCTCATCGCTGCCAAGGCTCCTCTCCTGTTCCTGGCTCAGATTTGGGAATCACAGCCGAGCGGCGCTAGTTAACGACACGGAGGCTCGTCGTTAACTAGAAACTCTCTCTGCTGCTATCTGGCCCTTTCAGTCTTTCTGCCAGTCCTCTTGTGAACCCAGAAATGTTGAGCACCGCAAAGTTGTATGTTAGAAATGCAAAGAACGGGTCCCCAGCTCATAGAAAATGCCAGATGCTAACTTACATTCACTATGTTTGCAGAATAAGCGTCATCTGCGCAAATTAGCATTGTAGTCCATGCAGACAATAGTTAATAAATGGCTTGGCCGAATTGGACAATTGTGCAGTGGTTTTAGGGCTTATTGAGGATGCTGAATGCATTTCCGACATTTTCAGGATCAGGAATGGCAGATTTAACCAGAAAGTGGCTACATGTGAACCAATGGTGGGATGAGTGACCATTGGATATAGAGAGCATAACAGATCTAAATGATTACCTCTACTGTGGACAATTTATTTTCCAATTCATAAGCAATCCAAATCCCTTCAAAATCACCCAAAATGAATAAAATCAGTCCACCTTGTTCTCAGCTCACTGGGAACTAGATTATTTCCACAGTGACGGGTTGGAGAAAGCCATGGATCACCAATGGCCACCCTCTGGTTTGACAACACCTCTACATACCCCAATATAAAACCCCTCAGCAGCGACGTGTTTCTTTTCTCTGCATTAGCAGTCAAAGGAACGACGGCAGCTTTTTTTTCGGAAGGAAACTTGCTGAGACTATGCAAACTCGGCAGTGACAGATGATCGTTCTTTCGTGCCGGCTTTCCCATTTATATTCAGTGAGAGCTTTTATGCCTCTGCAACATTGTTCAGGCTGCCCCATTTCCTTTGCCTGGCGAACATCATGCCAATGTCTGTAAGCATTACACAGAGAGATAAGCCCCGCCCACACTCGACCTGTCATGAAGCGTCCGTCGCTCTGGAGGCTGTTTGTCATGAGAAGAAAAAGGATAATGCTTACATACCATTCAACTGAAACAATGTAAAATACGATCAAGTGAATGCATACTGCTCAAAGCGGGTGACTTGGCAAAAACACGTATTTTTAGGATACAGATAATGAAGGTTTTACATGTCATCATCTCGTTTGATATCATATCATTATTTGGGAGGACGCTCTTTCACATTTCAGTCAAAGACACTTATGTCCAGGATCTGAACATTTTAGAGAAATGATTTAAGTGTTAAATGTGTCTCTGATAAGATGATACTCTCTAGCTGCAACTTCTGGTACATATCATTTCATTTATCTAGACTTTCACTCACAACTCAGACCTGGTGTGTTCTTCTGATGGTCGATTAATTCAAGAGTTGGGACGTTTTCATGGGTTCATGAGCTCTAAGTCATAATGTTCATAAAAAGAGATTCTTAGAGCCAGTATTTTGTTTTTTAATAATAAAAGGCCACCTTATCGTGCCGTCTGTAGTCAACACAGTGTAAAGGACTACAATTCCCACGGCACCAGCCTCCAAAGAGACGGAGATGGGGTAACCTGTCGAGGCAGTTTTTTACCGTTAAATCACTGTTAAGATACCTTTAAAGTTACATTATTTTATTTTGACTAAACACAAAACACAGTATCAGCACAACACCAGAGTCCAAGCAAGTCATTTCAACTGTGAGTAAAACAAATCTGATGAAAGGAAACGCGTTAGAAATGTCTGTAAAAGGCGTCTAAGTGGCTTGGATAGAAAACAAAGGAAGGAAACCACGACAGAGAGTTTTAAAGGGGACCTATCATTCAAAATGCACTTTGTGATGTCTTTTATACATCAACATGTGTCCCCGGTGCGTCAGGGAACTCACGCAGCGTCAGGAAATAAAACCCTCTCTCTTTTCCTCCGTACCCAAATCTCTAAAAACGGGGGAGCAACGGAGCTGATCCAGATTTGCGTCCGATATGACGTAATATCTGAAATGTGGACCCACGACCCAATCAGAAACGTTGCTATCAGAAACAATGCCCGACTGTTTTGGACGTAATATGGTCGGTGTTTACATTGGCATCGCTAACACTCAGAGCTAACCTGTGCTGGAGAGCATGTGTGTGAAGAAGCAGGAAGTAAAAAGGAACTCACCTTGTGGTATAACCGGCAAGAGAGAAAGCCTTTGAGCTCCAAACTGTTTCAGAGAGAATCCTTGATAATCCATGATATGGCGTTTCATCACGGCAGCATTTAGTTTAGACAGTAGCTGCCGGGTCCCGCATGAGCTCAGACCCCTGCTTTTTATTTTAAAGCTTTATACCCCAATCAGCACTTTAGAAACAGGAAGTGAAATAGAGGGATATGAGGCATGGCTAGAATGGGTGATCTGTATTTTGAGCAAAACACTTCATAGACATGTTTTTTATATATCTGAGACCTATGCTATTGCCTAAAAATAGCATGATAGGTGACCTTTAAGAGTCTTTATTAAAAAGCATGTTATCTGTTTCTGAGTTGAGGGGGATTCATCTGCTTTTTCCCAGTCGGAAAACTCTAATTCCAACACCACGTGAATGCAGGAAATCCTGTATCAAGTAATGATAATACAAGTGAAAGTCATCTTGTGGTTTTTCACGGTGAATCAGATTCACACATATTTTTATGGATTATTCCTCGGGCATTTCTACACAAGTGTTTCATGGAAACCTGGCCTGTATTTTTTCCCTGCTAACACTAAAAGAGATGGAAAATATGTAAATATAACCACCTTTAGAGGTAATTAACATCTCCTGTGATATTGTCAACAGGAAACAAAAACTATAAGCATCTTGGAAGCAGACTTGATCGTATCAGTGTATTGGATTTCAATCAAATGCAGCGTGGTGTAAGACGCTGTATCTATTTTCAATATTGCTATTGAACTACACTCTCAAAGTAATCCCTTGAATGTTGTTTTCCACATCAAACATATCCCCATGCATGATTTACAGAGTAATCCGCCCCCCTCTCACAGGGTCAGTCCGAGGTTAAGATTAGAAAAATAAGTGTCTGAAGGTTGAGATCTCTCCACCCACCCAAGGCTTAATAAAACACAGAATATATACATGAATTATGACTTCCTGCCTTCCTCTTATTACAGCTTTTATATTGCTTTGCAGAAAGGTGGGGAACACTTTACTGTATCTCGTCACTCAGTCATGTGAGCATCAATATTTCCTTCCCATCACTGAGCTCGACGGCAAGATGTTCCATCGGGTGTAAATCAATGTGAGAGTGAGGTGTAAAGGAACTATTTTTGGGCGCGGGATGGATTTTAAGTCGTGTTGATTTTCAATTTCGAACAGGAGGGTTAAAGGTGTGTTTGTGCTTGAAGCTTTGCGTGACTGTGGCAACTAC